CTGGTAATACCATGATAGTTATCACTGAATAGCCAACACTCATTTTTTGGGACAGTGAATGAACCGTAAATAACGGAAACTAGAGAATCTGGAAATTAGTCAGTTCACTACCATTTTAAAATCCGCAACCGAGAACTTAAGTTGTCTCACATGAGATATCATTTACATCATAATTAAGATACAAGCGAACAAATATGGTCAAATTGGTCACAAAAGACTGCATAGAAAGGATTAAATACGATGGGACGCTGAACCGAATTTCGTGAGTAACGAAAAGAAGGCGCACCTTTGAATTAGCCCATGATTGTCATTAGAAAGTTAGGTAACTCCATTCCACCAGAAGGATGGTATATTAAAACCGTCGCACGCGACCTACATTGATGAGCACTTCACCTGAAACCTAAGCAGAATCTTCAAAGCAACCCAATATACTAGTACGGTTTACCAAAACGTGCATCATTTAAACAAGGGCAATCCTAGTTATACTAAAGGAAGAAGCTTCAGTATTGTTAACACCGCTAAGTGGTATGTTTGCAAACTTGCTTCGAAAAGGCACGGTCCCAAAAATTGGAGGCTGGCACATATCACATCAATTTTCAAAAGACTTTCAAGCTTACGACTGTTTGCGCTAATCCTAAATTCCGGAGTCCTTGGCAAAAATCAGTCTGTGCAACTACTTATTATCCTCCTGAGCCATAAGGGGCTAGCTGATAGAAATGAGGAATATATACTCTCAGATGGATCTGAAGATCATGATCTTAAGTGAAACATGGCTGTCTACCAAAATCTCAGCCGACAAAGTGAGCTTGCAAGCCATGACACTCCTCCAGTGTGCTAGGGTACTCCAGATAGGAAGCAGAGTGGCTATATACATTAAGAGCCATTTCAAAGACGAGAGGCTATACGACACCCTATTAACAGGGGTTACATATACATGTTGGTGTTTTTTAGCACAAATGGCACGAAACACTTGATTGGAGGGTTTATCTGGCTTCTATCAGGTATTAACACCCAGAAAGTCAAACTGACTGAAGCAATACTGGTACTGACACGCATTGGGTCCTGTCAAATACACTTAGCCGGAGATTTCAACACCCCATCTCTAGATCTCAGCAGTCAGGCTACAACTCCCACTGGTTGGTTCCAAATATAACATAGTGCGGCGATCTGAAGTTCTGGACTGACTGACCATACACTCAGCGCTGCTAAACGGACTAAGGATGGAAAATGCTCAAACTGAGGTTATTTCTTAACAAATAATCCGCTTCCGGTCGAGTGTTCACTCGGAAGTAGAAGAACATGGGTTAGGCGCGGTGAAATAAAAGCTTGGTACAAGTGGAAGGTCTCTTTGAAGGATTCGGATCGTAGTCCCTATGCCCAGGAAAGTCACTACATTGCGAGAATATTCGTCCCATAGTATTGACATAGTGTGTAGAAGCCCTCTGTTAACCGATATGTGACCGATTAAGGTATTCACTGGAGTTACACCATCTCCCAGCTAAGTGGAAACAAGCTATTCTGTCTCCAATCTTCAAATAGGAGATAAGAAGGACATCGCCTGTTACAGTCCAGTCTCATTACTATCAATACTATTGTAGGTAATGGAGGAGCTGGTGAACGAACAGATGAACGACAAGATGGATAAGAACAGAATCGTAGTGGTGTTCCGTTCTCTGAGCTGGATATTTGGGTTGTGAAGCTTTCATTGTTCTTCTGAAGACTTCTATCTGAAGTTTATGGTGATGATGTTGGTCATAAGAACAATCAAAGCTTCACAACAAAAACATCCAGCCTAGAGAACTGAATACCACCACAATCATCCACTCGAGCTACAAAAAAACTTCCTCCAACTTCTGAAGAATGAAATCTTCCAGGAAGCTCAACATGGGTTTCGGTAAGGCAAGTCGTGCGCATCTTATCGTGTCATAGTATGGGACAGTTGGACATCCTGATGGGACCGAAAAATGCTTCGACACAGTATCCCACGCACAGCTAATCCTGTAGGTTTTGGAAATGGGCTTCACTAAACAACTCCTATCTTGGCTTAGAAGCTACCTTGAGAAGAGAAGGTTTCGCACCAAGGTGAATAGGGTACACGTGAGTTGGCGAGTCACAACATCGGGAGTTTCACAGGGGATCATCTTAAGTCCACTTATCTTCCTGATAATAGTTAACTATCTGTTAGACACAGTTAGATCACTGGCATTGATCTAAGCATTCGGTGCAAAGATCTGGAGTTCCATTTGTAGTGAAGAGGATTCGGATGAGCTTCCAAAGGACCTTATATCCATTGAGGAATGGGCAGTGAAAGACGGTTTAAAACTAAACCAACCAAAGTGTAACGTCATACATATTCTGCCTCACATGACGCAAACGATTTATAGTCCCAATGGAAGTCCGCTCACTAATGATAAAACAACTTGGTGCTGTCACACCAGATTTATTTCTAACGTTGTTTAAAACATTTGCACGACCACACCTTGAGGTTCATAGACTCGTCGCAGCCCATCTCCTTAAAAAAGACATAAATCTCTTGGATCGAATACGGAGACGAGCAACGAAATGGATGAAAAGGTTGAAAAATAAAACTATAGATGACTGACCTCAGCATTTGCGATTATTCCCCGTGAGTTTCTGCAGAAGCAGAGGTAATTTGATTGTGGCGTTCAACATATTAAGCACGCCAAACCATCCCAACGTGAGCTTCTTACGGGGGGTAATCCTCGAAAAACTGCGCATCAAGAAGCGGACACTCAGATAGTGCACACGTTTTCTCATTAGGAGTCGTTGCAACTTGGAATGCCGTCCCAGTCGAGATGACAACAGCCCCCTCAGTGGACAGCTGTAAGAAGAGACTTGATAATAACTTGATAATCTCCCTTGTGAACAAGCTGTGCCTGATGCACGTCTTGAGACCCGCTAGTTGTTATTATTGCCTGTAGAATCTTTTTTGGATGTTTTGTTTTTTGGAAAATCCCTCCATGTTTATATATTTGTGTTATGATATGACTGACTCGTTCTGTTGACATTTTGGTACTTTATTTGATTCCATTTTGAGATTTTAATACTGTATATTGTTATTATATTTATATCTTGTATTTATTTTGAAGTTTTTATGTTTCCTTCTGAACTGTACATATGTTTAAATTTGATATTTAATATGGCTACGGCCATATTTGGATTTGATACCGTAGCGATTCAGACTGGAAGCACTTATTATTCCAAAAAAGGATACCCACCAGGGTAATTTGGACTTGGAAGGTGTAATAATAGTTGGACCATTTTCTCCCAGAATTATTGTGTTTTGGTTTTGTATCTGGGACGTTGAGTACCAACCTGCACCTATTGGAAACGGAGTGAATTGCTGGGGTAGAAAATTCATCTACATTGCCATCTCCTCAGATCACTAACTTAATCTTACTCACCTACTACCTCTGTCTACTCTCCCTTGCTTACACTTCAGTCCTCCCTCACTACCACTTAGTAAACTAGATTATCTATATATTACTTCTGAAATCCTCTTATTAGCATCAGGATTTTCTCCTTATTACTCTCCACATTGCAACTAACTGGTCTCTGGCCTTGTAATGTGATGGCTGCTTGTATCCAGAAACCCTACTGTCCTGAAACAAAAGTTTTCATTGAAATCACGTGACAAACGAACTCACAAACAACTGCTGACTGACTAGAATTAGTGCGTTCGAGTGGCTAGAACCCCATTCATAGTACACTATCAAATACTTGGAACCTTACCGAGATAACAACAATCAAGCGCTAAGAAGTCAACTGGTTAATTGGGCATTGAAGGAATTAGAGAAAAAACACTTCTACGTATCCAACCTGATGGTCTCGAAAGGCGCCACGGACATCCATCATTGATGCGTTATATCCTGTTTCCTCCAAACCTTTTGATTAGGTTACTCATCAGGCTGCCTTCTAGAGACTGTTTAACGTCATATTCAAACGATCGACTTTTTAAGCTCGTGATCAACGTTTATTTTTCTGAAGCTACTGTATAGTCCTATGGAGTCCATAGGTGTTCACTATTGATAATACTTTTTTTATGAATTATTGAAAATGACCTTATCCAACAAGCATCGTCTGGATTATAAATTTTTTCTGATCATATTAAGCACATGAAAGAATTTTGGGGCTCTTCACGAGAATCTAACTCCACTTTAAAAGTTGGGTGAGTAACAAGGACAGACTTTTAACACCTTTAAGTGCAATGTAGTCCATTTTAGATATTCTTCAGACTACGTATACAGCTTAGGTAACTCGCCTTTATTGGTGATTCAAGTTGGAAAAGAACTAGAAATCTCGGTACCTTATGCTGACTGTGAAAAAGCGCCTTTTCAACAAATCTTGTAGTAGTAACTTTTAGGCATAATTTTTGCTCATTTTGATGGTCGAATAACTCTTCTACTCTTAAGCAGCTTTAGTGGGGTCCATTCAGAGTACAGAGAGGTAGTATCTCCTTCCTCATCGTAAAAGTACAAGGAAACACTGCAACATATCAAGATGCTAGTCAAGAAATCAGTTTGAGGACTCAAGTTCACTCCTAATAAAGAGCGCCTCGAGCCACTACATCTTTACCCGTCGGAGTATAGGCGTCTCAGTGTTGGCCTTATAAGAACTCACAGTATTCAAGATGATTCTTAGCACCCCATAAATTACCGATTTAAGCTTAGTTTAAACATAAACCTTAGGGGAAATTCCAAACAAGAGATCTAACTTAACAAAATGGACTACAGATAAACTTTATACTCTTTGTGGGCAGTACATTCCTGGAATTCATTGCCGGCTGAGTTGATGAATGCAACTGTTCTGGAGTTCTTCAAGTAGGAACTTGACATTTTCTTTACGAATCACTATAATTTACTGATATTTCTCACCTACTTCCTTAATATTCTTAGGTGCTTGCCAGAGGTTATCGGTGATTAATTGTTTCTTGATATGGAAGCCCACTAAGCGAAAGTTTCTTCTATTCACAACCGTTCGAGTACTCGAATACATTGGATATTGAAAGTACGACAAGCAAAGGCGTAATATTGACTACCACGTTACTTCTCTCCCAATCCTATTACATCTTCTTTAAGTTTGTTATTATTTGGTTACCTGAATAAAATGACACTTTTGCGGCGTTTTATTAATACGTTTTGTTAATTCTATTTCTTCATGGGATGAACGCTCAGTCTATTTACCACTTAGTTATCTTATTTGAAGAAACTAAAACGAAGTTGTCGAAATCTATTTCATACAGATGTAAGTCATCTTATGCTTTATTTTAACCTGTATAGCTCCGTCTTTACCCTATCCATTTGTTATCCGAAAATCACTCAAAAAGAGCAAGCACTGCAACTCAAATACTTCAGATACACAGGGTAGCAGACAATTTAATCAAATTTCTGTGGAGACGTATTCAATGAGTGAGAAATTTGTATCTTTGACGGAATATTTTTATTTCAGATATTTCAGACTCATTGGATTCAGATAAGGGTGAAGAGATCAGTTTTTTTTCTGGCAATCCAACGGTTGAGACCACTGAAGGTATCATACATATATACAAAAATCAGTACGTAGTTGCAAAACATTTAAATATTTCTTAGGAGAGAAGTGCCACGATGTAGTGCCATTGTTACGAGCACTATGCTCTGCTTCTTTTCCGTCCCATCTCATATAACAGTCAAAGACTTATTGAGGTTTATTTCGCCCATGCGGTATGCTTGAAGATTATGTTTAAACTTTTTCAGTAATGTAATCGAAGAACTTAAAATCGTTAAGGATAGTACTCCGAATCGGTATATGGCATTGATAAAGTTTCGGACACCTGTACGTACATGTTATTTTCATTTGACAGCTTTAGGAAGACACTGACCACTTTTATGATACCTACAATAGCACCTCTTACAATACTATGGAACAGGAAGTCTGCCAACTGATGTATGTCTCACATGTGGAGATCACACACCCTTCTATGGTATGATTATTTTAACTAGAATTTGTTCATACTTTTCAGGGCGTCGCATTTCCTACCAAAGATTTAAGAGAATTACCTTCTTGTCCGGTGTGTCTGGAACGTCTGGTAAATTTCTGTGTAAATGGTCGTTTTAACTACCTTTGTTTTTCAAACACAGGATGAACCAGTGCAAGGAATATTGACCACAATTTTATGTAACCACACATTCCATGATGGATGTATATCACAAGTAGAAGATACTATGTAAGAAAAGAAATTCCCCAAATTCATTCCCCAAAAATAGTTGTCCAGTTTGCCGTTATGTTCAATCGCCTGAGATGCTTTCTGATAGTCAGTGTGCAGATTGTGAAATAAGAGAAAACTTATGGATTTGCTTAATATGTGGTCATGTTGGTTGTGGTCGTTATGGACAAAAACATGCTCAGTTGCATTTCGAAGAAACAGGACATACATTTGCCTTAGAGCTTGGCAAAACATTAGTATGGGATTATGCTGACGATGCATATGTTCATCGACTAGCTGTTAATCATGAGGATGGTAAATTAGTCCAGGTTAGTAGCTTTGCTGCGTTTTTTTTTCTTGCTACTTAGATAGTCTTTTGTGTAGTACAAAAAATTAAGTTACTGACATATTCGTTTTTGTGGAAATCGATTACGTCGGTTTTGTAAAAACGAACGAAGTAAATATATCACATTGTAGAATTCTTGACTCTGAACATCATATAGCCGAATTATGATATAATATTTCAACTTGTTTTCTAAAACTTTCACAGCGTTATTTAGAGTGTTTTTTAAGAAATAAAAAGAATACTTTTTTTAATGTTAGTCTTCTTTAGCAATCGCTTTTAAACAATTGCGACGTATATGCCTCGAATAACCTTGTAAATCATTTGTGGTTAATTGATTTATAGAATTTAATATAAGATTTGTAAATGATTCATTAAATCTACTTGCCAGTGATCCTCTTACAATGGATTTAATTTTTGAAAATGCAAATTCAATTGGATTAAACATATAACTATTAGGAGACAAAAGCGTAACCTTTACTCCTTTTTCATCAAAAAATGTTTGCTAATATTGGATTGAGAGATCCTTGCATTATCAAGGATAAAAAAGCACTTCTTAAAAATTGATTTTTGATTGCATTTTTCAATCAATTGATCAAAAAAATGAATGAACTTATCGGAGTTCAATGAACCAAAAACTGTTTGAGCAAAAAGAATTTCATTTTCTGTTAGTGCGGATATCAAACTTACATTAGTTCCATGTGTTGACGAAACTGTGTCACTTGTTGGTTTTCCGCTTGTAGATCTTCCCAAACTTGTTCACAAATACAAATTAAAGGATGATTCATCAATAAAAACTTTTGTGAAGGAGTCTTTGATATTCATGAAATCTTGCGCATATATTTGTCGTTTAATTTTACTTGATTCTGAGTTGATATTAATCGATGTATAAGGACATTTTAAGGATTATAAAAAATTTTTAAAAACGCTGTGAAAATTTTAAAAAAGTTTTTGGTTATTTTAAAAAATGCTGTTGAAATTTTAAAAAACGAGTTGAAATACTATATTAAGTTGTTTTGAAAAAAGGCTTTCCGAGCAGTTTCTGCATTTGACCTAAACATATATACCAATTTTTACCGATAATATAATTAAGATAAAGTTTCTTTCTAAGATTTATACGTTTCCACTCACACTTTTCGGTAGCATTGATGATGTATTTCCTTTACCTGTTAAGGCGAACTGTTAGTTTTGTTTGTGGAAATAAAGTTAAACCTTTTACTACATAGTATGTTGAATTCCTTATGCAGCTCAATCAGTCAGATGCAACGTAGAACTTTGTACGTAAGTACATCAGTTCATGTCGCCATACCACATCAGCACAGAGATGTAATTGACAATTCAAATCCAATAGTAGAAGAGGTAGTAAAGGTATTAGAAGTAGTCGGAGAGATTAGGATTAGAAGATATTATTCAAGAAGTATGATTCAGTGAGAAAAGTTTAGAAAGTCGAACTAGAAGTGTTGAAAAACCCAGAAGATTAGGATTTGAGAGAACACAAAGAATAAATGCACCGGCGCGATTGCGAACGATTTTGAGCCATGTCATTCAAGGTCTCTAACCATCGATTATTATCATCTCGCGGACCCCAACCAGGTAGTCGACACCTACCGACATGGCTAAGTCCACTTGTCAATGACTACATGAATTTCTGCCATGTTTTGGTATGGCCGCCCCTAACTTTCTTCTAACCTATTCCTACACTACAAAACAAAGCTTGTCGAGTCAGTCGGTGGTTAGGCATACGCAGCACATGTCCCAACCACCTCAACTGATGAAGTTTCATTACTTCATCTATTGATCTGCCATTCTTACCTAGCACAAGTTTCCTAATAACAGCGTTGCTCACTCGGGTGTCCCAGGATATACGAGCAATGCTTCGAAGACACCTATGATCGAAAACCAGTAACCTACGAATATCTACTTTTACTGGCCATGTTTCACAGCCATATAGTAAGACGTAGCGAACTGCTGCACAGTACACTCGTCCTTTAGTCAGCAAACGGATATCTCGCCTACGCCATCAGTGACGCAGGTTGCCAAAGGCCAATCGAGCTTTCTGTATCCGCGCTGAGATTCCGTCAGTCACCAGGCCATCAGCACTGATGAGACTCCCCAGATAAATGAAGCGGTCTACACGTTCGACTACTTCACTCCCTATCACTAGTTTAGGTGCCGATGCAACCCAGTCTTTGAGCAACAGTTTGCATTTTGAGGGTGAGAACCGCATGCCGAACATGCTTGCATTGTTGCTTAAGGTGGTCAGAAGACTCTGCATTTTGTCAGCGTCTTCACCAAGTAGGACAATGTCATCGGCATATTCTAAGTCAATAAGCGAGCCACCTGGTAAAAGATCTACTCCTGAAAATTCAGACGAGGATAAGGTTATTTTTAGGAGCATGTCTATGATGAAATTAAACAAGAATGGAGAGAGTGGACATCCCTGACGGACACCACATGATGTAGAGAATTCCGGTGACAGTTCGCCATAAGCCCTCACTCGACCAGTGGTGTTTGAGTAGAGAGCTTGTATGAGGTTAATGTACTTATTTGGTACACCTTTCAATGACAGACACTGCCACAGAACCTCACGATCCACTGAGTCAACTGCCGCTTTTAGGTCCAGGAAAACAACTATTGTCGGACGTCTAAATGTGTGTCTGTGTTCCAGCACCTGTTGTAGTGTGAAGATGTGGTCTATACAGCCACGTCCAGCTCGAAAACTAGCCTGGTTTTCTCGAGTTTGCCCTTCACGAGCTTTCGTTAAGCGCCGAAGTATTATTGAGGGTTATTTAGTCAAGCTTATCCTAATAATGTTTTCATTCAGACAAGAAAAGTCTACGTAAATATTAGAGGGCGGTTACTCTTTATTTTCTGTTTACTATAATTACGCTATAAGACCCCGATAATTTCATGATGACACTACTGAGCTTGTAATACTGCAACTATGTGTAGCTTGGCTAATATGATAATGTCTAATCCTTAACATATTTGGTGCTTATTTGTTTCAGGTTGGGCCTAATAGTGAAACTGGTAACAAAAAACTAGATGTGATTAGCATGGAATTCAGTGCTATTCTAACAAGTCAACTAGAATCACAACGTGTGTACTTCGAGTCTCAACTGGACTTAATAACTACCCAGTCAAATATGCGTCTTGAAGAAATGGAAGCCAGTGTTGAATCTGCCCTGTCCACTGCACGTGCCGCTGAAGAGAAACTCTCTGAAGTTCTGAAAGAAAATGGAGTCATCAGTCGTAAATTGCAACAAGTACATAAATTTTCACGTTTCTTTAATGTTGCCTATTTTGTACGATAAATCTCTTCTTAAAAATGAACTTAGGTTGCCATGCAAAAGGGCATCTATTTCGTTCGGTTCAGCTACACTGTCGGAAACACTTCCTGACATCGACGGTGGTGTGATGTCTCTGTAGTTCGCACATCATCTACTAAGATCTTTCTTCTTTGGTATCGTGGAGCGTGTATATATGACTTCAATGCTTCGGCTAGTATATCATCTAGTCCTGCTGCGTTACCACTCTTAAATTAGAATCTAGTGGACCAAACTTAAAAAGAAAAAGATAAAGGTGATGAGGAATTCAGAAAATTAGGATTTAACAGAATACAAAGAATGCTGCCCTGCCCTTGAATCCTGAAACCAGCAACTAGCCGCCACTGTATTTGCATTTCGGACATAAAAACTTATAATATTCGATCTTCGTTCCGGCATATCATATTCGTTTCACTGGATCACACTACCAAGAAGAAGCAGATCGACCATATCTACGTTAATAGAGAGTTCAAAAGCTCCATGAAAGATGGATGCAAGAATAAGATAGGGGCTGAAATAGCTTCCAAACACCGCCTGGTGCTAGGGAATCTGAAACCGAAACTAAAAAAAGCATTAAACAAACAAGTAGATAGCATTGCAGAAATTCAGCATGGTTTTCTCTCGGAATGTTTTAGAAAACTCAACGGATTGAAATAGCTCCTCTCAACAATAAGTTCCAAGACTGCAAGATCTACTCGAAAAAGAAGAAGAAGAAACCACTATGAAGAATAATTGAAAAAGGATTAAAAGAAGTAATAACATCAGTATGTCAGGAGTCGTTGCTGATAGTGTCTGGCCGAAATACTTCGGATTCGTTGGCCAGACACGATCAGCAACAACGTACTGTGGGAGAAAACAAACCAGATTCTAGTGTAGGAGGAAATCAAGAAGAAGTGGTGGAAGTGGATAGGACACACATTGCGGAAAGCACCTAAGTGCATCACGAGACAAGCCCTCACATGGAACCCTGAAGGCAAAAGGAAAAGAGGAAGGCCAAAAAACACATTACGCCGAGAAATAGAGAAAGATATGAGAGGACTGAACAAACATTGGACAGCACTGGAGAGGGAAGCCCAGGACAGACAGAGTTGGTTGGAGAAAACTGGTGGGCGGTCTATGCTCCATTGGGGGTAACAGGCGAAAGTAAGTAAGTAATGTCAGGAGTTGCTAAGCTGTAAGATGCACTAGCACAAGGAGTATGTCTCTGGATACCTTGACAAGATTGAAGGAGAGAAAAACCGGAAGACAGCAGTCAACAAGAGCAAATTAAACCAAGCAAGACGTAAGCTAAATATAGATAGAAGCAATTATGCAGTTGGAGATGGTGAGTGACGATATGTGGAAGACAGTAAGACTAGTGAAGATGAGGCAACTATGTGGTACAATGAAGAAGTTAGCTTATAAGCTAGCTTATATACAAAATAAGCATGATTAAAAGTCAATTGGCAGATAAAAGGTTAAAAGTTTTGAGTATTTTAGGTAATTTAGCCTTCTTTATTCAAAGCAACGCCTAAATATTAGCCTTCTTCATCGACCCTTAATATCATGAATAAACCTTATGTTAAAGCAAGTTTATAACTTCGTCATATGTTGAATAATGAATGTAATTAACTAAACTGAATATGTGTTGGTTAACTTTAATCATCCTGAATAGTAGACAAATCAAGCGATGAAATTACAATGATTACTGTGTTAACAGTTGTCTTTTTTCATTTACTTATCTTAACAGCTTTCTGTTATTCTTCACAAATTATCTAATTCTGTGAACAATGGCTTAGTAATTAAATTATTTGGTTTTCAACCAGTTAGCCTCACGCGGTATAAGCAGATACATAGTGGTGGCTAGCATCGTAATCCAGGATGCGCGTTTCATCCATCTTACTTTGAACTTGTCAGCTGAATGTACTTACATTCCACAACTCATGTTCATTCTGAGACCCGAGTCCTGTACAAGCCACCTAAAATGCCATGTGATATTACCCACTGAATTGTGCAATAGGGTGAATTTTAATACAAATAACTGACGAGTCCCAAATGAGGCGAAACACGCTTCCTGAAAATTCCACTGATAGCCATTGAAGCTTATTCTTGTATGATGATTATATTTGATATTTGTATAAAAGATTCAACTATTTGTAAGTCATCATGAAAAAGCACAATAAACATTGTATGTGTGATATTCGATGAAATTGTGTTTTCAGTAAGTAAGTAACGTGTACAAAACATGTTTATTATTCTTCTCTAAGGTAACATTATTAGCTCAACGTTTACAAAAAGATTTAGAAGAAGAACGTGCTTTAAATAAAAGTTTACTTATGAATGAAAAAACTTGGCGTGAAAGAACCGAGCGAGCAGAATCCGATGCGAAAACAGCTCGTGAAGAATGTAGAGAATTGTTATTAAATTTGGAGTTACGAGATAAATTAAATGAATTAGGCACAAATAAAGAGGTAAGTTCTCTCTCTCTATTTATATATATGCTGACAAAATGCAGTCTTCTGACCATCCTTATTAATAGTGCATGCATGTTCGGGATGCGATTCTCTTCAGCGAAATGCAAAATGTTGCTTCAGGATTGGCTTACATCGGCACTTGAACTAGTGATAGGGGAGTGAGGTAATTGAGCTTGTTGACCGCTTCACTTATCTTGGAAGTCTTATCAGTGCTGATGACCTGTTGTTTGACGATCATAGGTGTCTTGAAAGCATTGCTCGTATATCCTGGGACAATTGAGTAATCAATGCAGTTCTAATGAAAAGATTACTAGGTAGGGATGGCAAATCAATTGACAAAGTGGTGAATCTGCATCAGTTAGGATCGTTGGGACATGTGTTACGTATGCCCAAGCACCGAGTGCCTAGATAAGCGATGCTTTGTGATGTAGGAGTACTCTGGAAGAAATCTAGGGGCGGCCAGACCAAAACATGGCAGAAATCCATGAAGTCACTCACAAGTGAACTGAGCCGTGTTGGTAGATGTAGACTACCTGGTTGGGGTTCACGAGATGAAAGTAACCGATGTTTAGGGATCTTGAATGACATGAATCAAAATCATTTTCAACTTCGCAGGTGCATCCACTCATTTTGTTCTCCTAAATTTTAATCTAAACCCCTCATGACCTTCATCTTTCTCGTCTCAAACCTATTTCACTGGATTATACTTCTTGAATAGTATTTTCGGACCGTGATCTTTCCGATTGCTGCTCATACTTCAACTGCATATACCACAATGGCGTCTCTGTGCTATCGTGGTATGGCAATTTGTGCTAATGTACGTACGTACGAAGTTCTATGTTTTAACTTATTGACAATAGTCAACTATATCATGAAATGGACTCACTTTCATAGGTCTCTTTTTCAGTCTTACTCATTATTTTACTTACTGATCATTAAGTACTCTCGGATTGGTATTCGTCATTCTTTTGATCATAAAATATAGACCACATCTTCACACTACAACAGGTCCTGGAACACAGACACACATTTAGACGTCCGACAATAGTTGTGTTCCTAGACCTAAAAGCGGCATTTGACTCAGTGGATCATGAGGTTCTGTGGCAGTGTCTGTAATTGGGAGGTGTACCAAAGAAGTACATTAACCCTATACAAGCTTTCTACTCGAACACCACTGGTCGAGTGAGGGCTTATGGCGAACTGTCACCGGAATTCTTTACTTCAAGTGGTGTCCGTCAGTGCTGTCCACTCTCTCCATTCTTGTTTAACTTTGTCGTAGACATCCTCTTAGAGTTAACATTAAGCTTGTCAGATTTTTCAGGGGTTGACCTTCTACCAGGAAAATCGCTTGCTGACTTAAAATATGCCGATGACATTGTCCTACTTGGTGAAGACGCTGACAAAATGCAGTCTTCTGACTACCATAAGCAACAGTGCAAGCACGTTCGGGATGCGGTTTTCCCCCTCGAAATGTAAAATGTTGCCTCAAGATTGGGTTGCATTGGCACCTGAACTAGTGATAGGGAGTGAAGTGGTCGAACGTGTAGACCGCTTCACTTATCTTGGGAGTCTCATCAGTGCTGATGGCCTGGTGTGTAACGAAATCTCAGCTCGGATACAGAAAGCTCGATTTGCTTTTGCCAGCTTACGCCATTTATGCCGTAGGCGAGATATCCGTTCGCTAACCAAGTGACGGGTTTACTGCGCAGCAGTTCGGTTCGTTCTCCTATATTGATGCGAAACATGGCCGTTAAGAGTAGATGTTCGTAGGTTACTAGTATTCGATCATAGATGTTTAAGAAGCATTGCTCGTATATCGTGGGACAGCCGAGTAAGCAATGCTGTCGTTAGGAAAGGAGTACTAGGTAAGGATGGCAGATCAATCGATGAAGTGCTGAAACTTCATCAGTTGAGATGGTTGGGACATGTGTTATGTATGGCTAACCACCGACTGCCTCGAAGATCTTTGTTTTGTGGTGTAGGAGTAGGTTGGAAGAGAGCTAGTGGCGGCCAAACCAAAACACGGCACAAATCCATGACGTCACTGAGTCATGTTGGTAGATGTAGGATACCTGGTTGGGGTCTGCAAGACGAAATTCACCAATGGTTATAACACCTAGAACCACATGGCTCAAAATCGTTTGCAATCGCGCAAGTACATCCATTCGTTGTGCCCTCTCAAATCCTAATCTTCTGGATTCGTCAGCACCTCTACCTTTGTCTCTCTAAACTTATCTCACTGAATTATACTTCTTGAATAATATCTTCAAACCCTAGTCTTCTTCATTACCATAAATACCTCTGCTATCTGCACCGCTATGGGATTTGATTTGACATTTGCGTCTCTGTGCTAATGTGGTATGGCAACCTGAACTTATGTACATACGTACGAAGTTCTACGTTGCAACTGACTGACTGATCATAAAAGGGACAAAATAGTCAGTGCCTGGAGAAGAATTCGTTACTTCCCGTGGCTTTTGTAACTGGTAGGTTTTATATGATACTAAATACAATCATATCATTTATACTTCGAATGACTACCAGTTATGTTTAATATTTTGTTCATAAGCATATCATTTTATGATATAACGGATGAATTAAAATATTTCCCTCCATCTGCGATATACTACTCTACCACGATTGAATGACTGAGTTTATATACTACCGCTAGATCGGATACTGAAACGATCCTCTATACATAGACTAGATCATGTTATAATCAAATATTCGACTCACCGATAAAGATAAAGAACTGGAGTAATTATGTAGACAATATTTTATTCAACACAATTATATGCAATCATTATCAGTGAGTCCGGAGTATAAATCAATACATAAACGGAATTGTAATCACATGTTTACTAGTCAGTAAGTAGTAGACTGTGTGCCTATTTGTACACACTCCGAGACCAATCACTTTTACGATTAATGATACACATCCTTTTTACTAGAAATAAAACATTATGCTGATCGTTTGTGATATTTTTTTCAATGATTTGGTATGTTTAAGATTTATCAGTTGACTACATTATACAGCTTTAATATTTGTGGAGGTTTAAAACATGATCGATGCATTCAAAATCTGATCAGAAGCCACCCTACTCTTCACGTGTTAGTTTTTTGCCATACTTAGACAATCTTTAAAGTTTAGGAGCTGTCAAAAGTAAACTTCGATAGTTATTTGTACGAATGATAACCTAAAACCTTTTTACGAATATAGCAGAAGATTGATTCATCCCAAGATGTTAGAAAATACTCTGTTTCACAAACCTTCCCAGTTATCATTTTTAACTCTCTAACCACCAGCAGTCCTCCATCATCCTTAAAAAGGACCGGGGGGTAAGTTGTCTGGAGCTGGTGACTTGTTGCACTTCAGAGTCAATTTATTTATCTGTGTAACACATATGCATGCAAACTCACTAGCCGGAAAGTTTATTCGTTCGATTCCTAGCAAAGTTCTTACGGAAAGGAAGCGATGTTGGCCCAACGGATTGTGAAGTTAGTTTTCTGAAATCCAACCGGCTCTCATAATAACTTACCACTCCGATAGCAAGAAACCTTAGGGAATCACCCCCAGGTTCAAGGACATTGACATGAGTGAAAACTTATGCAGTATCAACAAAGCTGGCCTCTAGTTTTCCACGAAAACAATATACCTACTACGTCATTCGTGAACTACGTATAAAATATTCAAAGCTTGCTTACTAAGCGTAATTGTTCATCATCACTCTGTGATAAATATCAGATAATTCTACTGGAGTTATCCGAAACGTCTTCGTTTTTCAGTATGTATATTATGTCGAATGCTTTCGGTCACTACTACTACTTATTGATTGCATGGGTTCTACAAACTGCAGTTTAATCCCCATAAAAGATATCATTTTAACCCATAATGTTCATTGTATTTGAGCTTCTCATCTGAAATGTTGAGCTATACTACGCGGCCCATATTTATAAACATTTAGAGGTGCTATGAAATAAATCTCCCCATCAGTTTCCGTGTATTATACTTAGGCGAACCCAGTTTGTGCGACTGCGGTAATAAGAAGCCGAATAAGGATTCGGTTGGATGAGTTTATTTGAGACAATCGTTCGATGGTGCATGACTAAGAACGCACTTGGCAAAAGCTCCTTCTTTTGTAACTTATTTTAGAAATCTTGAATTTTCATGTTTTCGCGCCAAGAGACGCTTAGTTGACCTACAACTTACATTTCCCACCCGGAAATCCCTGGCCGTCATTGGTTGACAGATTTTTTTAGTACGCTATTTTGTGGCTTTCCCAAGGGCGTTTCTATCATTGTATAAATAAGCTTGATTTGTATGCTAAGCAACCTCGTATTTTCTGGGTGCATGTAAAATACATTCTTTACTCCTTGTCAAAGCTTCTTGATGTAGTCAGTGGGGCCCAGGGACAATTAGATTAGAATAGCCTATCGTGTCACTGCATCATTTATCTGCGCTCTGTTTAGCGAGTAAGATGAACTCGTAATAGTTTCACGCATATCATAGTCAGACAAAAATAAGCCAGACGTAATTTAGGCGAGATAGGCATGCACACATGCGGATAAAAGCAACACAGAGATGAGCGAATGACTGACAAGATCAATAAAAAAGTGGGAGCTAGAAATGGTAGCACTCACTAAAATATGACGATCTTATTGAATATTAAGAATGGTATCGATAATTGTCCCGACCGAAGCCGCTACCTTGACGTGGTGGTCGGGCTTGCCTATCGTGATAACCCAACCGAGCTATATTGGTTGGAACATATGTTCCTGAAGGTTATACCATGCCAGTCAGACAGGTAGATTGGAGAACGATGAGACTAAAAGTAGCTACCCGAGGTCTGAGGGCGAAGTCGTACTGCTAACTACTGTAGAGGGGTGTGACATCAGTAGGGTGTTTCCCTCGGACAACCAGCATCTGCAGCGATGCTGCCTTCTCACAAGGAAGAAAGGGTTAGAAAAGGTCGACCTTAAAAATGTCACACCTCACCCTACCTCAAGGATTTCCGTCTGCAGCGGTAAGGGTGCCCACTAAGGGCCTTTAAGAACGGAGCCAATCATAAAAAGGCCGTGCGTGACCGGCCTCAAGCCGTTGTCCCTTGGACTCTGCGGTCACGCTCCCAGGTCTCCAAGACCAACACTAATCTATCTTCCTTTTCAGGTCCCTCAAGAAACAACCTTCCACGGTGTGGGCAGCCGGGAAGTGACAACCGCCCTCATACCCGTAACAGCACACGAGACAAAATTGGTCAAACTCAAATCCATCCTACACCCCCTAATATCTCTCTTATCTCTACGACTAACTCTTCTCACAATTATTTATCACACTGCACCACTAATGCAAACGATGCGAGTTCCTGAAACATCATTCCAGGTCTCCTGAAAGCTCGTTTTAAATTACCCATAACTGATAACTGTAGCTTGATTACTCGTTGTGGTTTAACAGTATTTAACAAAATTTTTTAGGAAGACATCAAATGTAACTGTCCTTGAGTAAAAAATATCAGCTCTAAGAGATGCAGGTATATTCAGCTTTAAGAAGAGCAGAAGATAGGACAAAATATACATTGTTGACTTCTTATTTCTAGCCACATTCCACCATCTATTTTTTTGAGACAATCCACATAAGGATGGATGGCCAGCCAACCAAAACTGACTAAAAATTTCCCTTTTGAATGAAAATATCAATCATTAAATTGAAAATTCTTATGTATTATTATGTTTATTTTTCATTTGCTCGTTTGTTTGACTGTAGCTGTCAAAAGATGAACTTGAAACATGTGAAATCTCTTTACAACCTGGCAGTTCACAGAAATCAAATCGACGAAGACGTAAACGCTAACTCTAAATAGAGCAGAAAAGGCTCTTGTCAGATGATGAATAAAAAAAAATGCACCATTTCTTATTCTAATTGCAACAACATTCATATCTTGTTGCTTGACTCTTTCTATCATTCGCTGTCATCTTCAACAAAAGAGCACACACACACACATCTATATGTATGTATGTATGTATATGTTTGCAACAAATGTCTTGCTTCACTTTTATATATATATATATAGAATTCTAATCTAACTTTTCCATTCTTGTTATTTCAAAATGAAACGATTATTTTCGACATATATATAAATATATATATATATTTTCTTTCATTTTTAATTGTTTGATAATTTTCATTCCATTTTGAAATAAATAAATAAATTTCATGAAATTTAAATTTGTACTACATCATGTGTGGAATTCACTTGTCAATGTTTCGGTATCTTGACAATCAAATCTTAATTGAACATTGATCAGTGTGTTGTACAAATTAAGCGTTCTTATTTGAATATTGTACTTTGTTGATTTGATGTATATATTTTCGGCGTTGTTTAACATTTCATAAACATGCATTGAACTTACTGATACTAAATTTGAAAAGGCATGAATGGACCGTTGTTAGACGGCTGTTTCGTCCTGGTACGGTGGGACTCATCAGACGTCCAGTGCTTCCAGGTTTTTAATGATGGTCTACACTTCGGATTCGTTGGCCGGACACCATCAGCAACAACTTACTGTGAGAGAGGACAAACCAGATTCCAGTGGAGGAGGAAATCAGGAAGAAGCGGTGGAGTTAGTGGATAGGACACACACTACGAAAAGCACCTAACTGCGTCACGAGACAAGCCCTCACATGGAACCCTCAAGGCAAAAGGAAAAGAGGAAGGCCAAGGAACACATTACGCCGAGAAATAGAGAAAGATATGAGAGGAATGAACAAACATTGGACAGAACTGGAGAGGGAAGCCCAGGACAGACAGAGTTGGTTGGAGAAAACTGGTGGGCGGCCTATGCTCCATTGGGGGTAACAGGCGTAAGTAAGTAAGTAAGTACACAATGATTCATTTATGATTGATTTTAAGGTAAGAAAACCATCTCCATAACATTTTGAATTAATTGTTCTTCAAAATATAATTTCTATTCAACTGCCTCTAGACTTCGCAGATAATCTGGCTTATCTGTCGCACACGCAACAACAAATGCAAGACAAGATGACCAGTGTAGCATCTGCCTCAGCAACAGCAAGTCTCAACATACATAAAGGGAAAAGCAAGATTCTGCGATACAACACAACATGCACCAACCAAATCACGCTTGATGGACACACGCCTTGGAGGACGTCAACACCTTTACATATCTAGGCAGATGTAAGGGCGCAGATCGGTAAAATAAAGGCTGCATTTTTGCAACTGAACAACATCTGGAACTCAAAACAACTATCAACCAACACCTAAGTCAAAACTTCCAATACAAATGTCAAGACAGTTTTTAATGTATGCGGCGGAAACTTGCAGAACCACGAAAGTCGTCATCCAGAAGATACAAGTGTTTATTAACAGTTGTCTACGCAAAATACTTTGGATTCGTCGGCCAGACACCATCAGCAACAACCTACTGTAGGATAGAACAAACCAAATCCCATTACAAGACGAAATCGAGAAGCGCTGGAGGTGGATAGAACACATATTACGGAAAGCACCCAACTACGTCACAAGATAAGACCTCACTTGGAATCGTCAAGACCAAAGAGCACATTACATCGAGATATGAGAAGAATGAGGAGCGATTTGGTAGAATTGGAAAGGAAGGTGTTCATGACTGAGTATAGGTTGAAGAAAATGCTGGTTGGCGCTCCATAGGGGGGTAACAGGCGTAAGTAAGTATGAAAGACTATTTATTACATCCCAATTCCCTCTTGACAATCACTTATCGATACGTTTAATACCGCAGAAAGGAGAACCTTAAAATTCTTGCATAGTATTACGTCACCATGAACCACACAAGAAAAAAGCTTACTGATCTGTTTATTATTATTGAACTAAAATCATTTCTCCTGATATCAAAATTGTAAAATTTTCTTTCAAAAATTATGAATTATATTGCAAGGATAGAAAGAAATATAAGGCAATTAACACAAATACAAAGAAGTAGTGGGATCAAAAAGGTGGCGGGGGGGGGGGTGGTGAATTTGTTCAAAATACATATAAACACAAACTCACACACACACGTATTCCCTTGTTTATTTATCATGAAAGACTGGTTGGTTTTTTTATCAACAATTCCAGTGTGGCATGCAGTAAAAAGCGCACGCGAGAGAGAGATTAAAAATAAGAAACAGTTTATTCTTTGTTCAATTGGTTTTGTGTAGTATCAATCATGATACAGTTGGGTATTTATAATTTAAACAAGCTAATTGTATGATAGATATTAAAAGATTTGATGCATTTTTCAAATAATTCTGAGCATGACTACATTCTAGTAATAAATTGGAAATATATTGACTTTTTGATAATTGTGTTGTAGTGACCATGGTTGAATAATCATCCATAGAAGTTGACTGTTCTTCTTCTTCCCCTTGTTGGTGTTGTTCTGGCATAGTTGTTGACTTTTCTTTAGGTAACTATTTGGAGAGAAAAATACACACACATATATATGAGAGGTGAGGAAAGAAGAATACAAGTCGCTGTTCCGGGATGAAGGTAGTCGACCGAAAAGCTAATAAAGTAATCTAAGTTTTATGCTGTATGATATTCGTTATTCGACAAGGTGTACTGGCATCCCTGAGGAAATCGCTACTTATTAACAAGTTTGGACCGACATCACCAAGCTTCATCATAATCTAAAGAGGTTATCATTGATTGAGCTAGCTAATCGGCATGGAAGTGACCTACCTACCTCCTGCGTGGGCGTGATATCCGTTCGCTTACCAAGTGACGGGTGTACTGCGCAGCAGTTCGCTCCGTTCTCCTATATTGATGCGAAACATGGCCGTTAAGAGTAGAAGATGTTCGTAGGTTACTAGTATTCGATCATAAATGCTTAAGACGCATTGCCAGTATATCGTGGGACAACCGAGTAAGCAATGCTGTCGTTAGGAAACGAGTACTAGGTAAGGATGGCAGATCAATAGATGAAGCATTGAAACTTCATCAGTTGAGGTGGTTGGGACATGTGTTATGTATGCCTAATCACCGACTGCCTCGACGAGCTATGTTGGAACAAAGCTAGGGACACAAATCCATGAAGCCACTGACTAGTGGACTGAGTCATGATGGTAGATCTAGGATACCTGGTTGGGGTCCGCAAGACGAAAGTCATCAATGGTTATAACACCTTGAATGACATGGCTCAAAATCGTTTGCAATGGCGCAAGTGCATCCATTCGTTGTGCTCTCTCAAATCCCAATCTTCTGGATTCGTCAGCACCTCTACCTTTGTCTTTCTAACCTTATCTCACTGAGTTATACTTCTTGAATAATATCTACAAACTCTAGTCTTCTTCATTACCATAAATACCTCTACTATCTCCACCGCTATGGGATTTGATTTGAAATTTGCGTCTCTGTGGTAATGTGGTATGGCAACCTGAACTTATGTACATACGTACGAAGTTCCACGTTGCAATTGACTGACCTACCTCCTGTAAGACTGAGATAATTACTTTGATTAACCATAGAATACCTTCAACCATTTTTTAGACGACCGAAAAATAACGCACATGATGTCGCATCATTTAGACCAGTAGTGACACTGAGACTTGATTAATCAAATCCGATCAGTAGTAAAGACTTTTAGAGCAAACACGATTTTAGTTAACAAGATAAAGTACCAGGAGACACACTTGTTGTCTTAGAGCATGCTGAAGACAGTTCTATTTGGTGAAGATGCTGATAAAACAGAGTCTTCTGACTACTGCTTACTCGGTGGCCCCAAGATACATAAGCAATGCTTCGAAGACATTTATAATCGAATACTAAAACCAATGAATAACTTCTATCTCTGAATGGCCATGTTTCACTGTCATAAAGTAAGATTGAGCGAACTGGCGCTCATTAGACTCGCCCTTTGGTTAGCAAAAGGATATCTCGCCTACACCATAAGTGAAGCAAGTTGGCAAAAGCCAATCGAGCCTTCTATATCCGTGCTGAGATTTTGTCACAAACCAGGCCATCAGCACTGATGAGACTCCCGAGATAAGTGAAGTGGTCAACGCGCTTAACCGCTTCACTTCCTATCACTAGTTCACGTGCCGATGCAAGCTGATCCTGAAGCAACACTGTATTTCAACGGGGAGAATTGTATCTCGAAGATGCTTGCATTGTTGCTTAGGGTAGTTAGGAAACACTGCATTTTATCAGCCTCTTCATCAAGTAGAACTATGTCATCGGCATATTCTAAGCCAGCAAGCGAATCTCCCGGTGCGGTCAGAAGACGTGTGAATAAGGGGTCGAGATATACAAAGTAATCAATCGGTTTGTCCCAAAAGCCATGTAGGCTCGAGGCAATGGTACACAGTACACTTTCCTGCTAGCTTGTATCCAGAGCGTTTCACTTATTCTGAACACCACCAAACTGTATATTTCAATTTCTCAGATATTTGAATGGTCCTCGCGGTCTCAAGCGTTGTATAGACATTCTATGTACCTAGATTATTTGTTGCTTTGGTTGTTAGAACAGGCATCGACCTTATGATTTCTGAAGAATTTAAGCATTCGCCAACAGCCGCCTTAACTTTATTAGAAAAAGACCACTCAACTTCCAGGGCAGAGTTCAAATAGTTTGAATGAATTTTTTGGTAAAGTTCTGTTCTAGGGGATGGGGTTGCTCACCTCATATTCAACCCTACTCTTTTCTCCGGGTTCAGTGCTGATAGCGGCTCTAGACACATTCAACCTTGTAGTGCAAAGTGGTCAGCGGAGGTTGATAGAATATAACCTTACACAACTTAGACTATTAATTTTTGATAATTGACAAATTGTACCTGGAATCCTTAACAAACTGATGCTTCTTGAAATATCCTAATCTACGTCAACCTTATTGTCACAATCAAAGAAGGTACTATTGAACTATTTGAGTAATGGCGATTGTCAAACATTAATAAGAAACGATATTTGACATATAAAAACACAAACTGAATGAACAGTTTTTATATATCAATGTTAAGCGATGAAATCCTTAAAAGTACTCTAAGCACAAAGGTTAAACAACAAATCATACGACTTACACTTTTTATAGTTTTAATAAATTCTTGACAAAGACAAACTTGAGCTTCAACAGATAATTGAAAGAAGCTAGTAAAATTAATAAAAAAAATAATAAGCAAAAACAAACATATTCAATAACAATTGATAAATAGAAATAATTATTTTATTTAATAGTATTTTAAAAAAATTTATTCTTCAAATATACAGATTTGATCGTTCATGTTGTTAGTGGGACATAGATGGAATTAAAGCATGACTACGTTGCTACGCGCTGATTGGCTAATTTCCTATCCAATCAACGCCTAATCGAATCTTGAAGAACAGGGTAGAAGATTCGCATATTGTTAGCTTCGTGCTGATTGGTTAAATCTAATCCATTCGATCACGTGAATTTCTATCCAGAAGCTTCTCATGCAACGTTGTATCTAATTCCGGGGCCTTCGCCGTCACCCTTGGCTTCTTATTTCCATTTAACCTTGCTATTTGGAATATAATCTTTTCCTGTTCCACCCTGTTTTTGATTCTTTGGAACTTGTCCAGTGTATTGTGGTCAGAGAATACTACTAAGCAATAGGATTTAGCTGGAAAATATCTAAGCAAGCCATTACAACAGTAGCGTCACAACACATGTGTAATGTAATATTAGAGATTCTAATAAACGCTAAGACGAACACGTCAATTTCTCATTAGTTTACAACAACCTAATATTTTTTTGATCATATGGTGTGTAGTTCAATCCTGTCGGGTATAGGTAATAACTACCGAAGACAATGGAGGAGGTTGTACAAAATTCTTGGATTGATCAGAGTTAAACATTCATATCGTTGGATCCCGGGTGGATGGTTGAGAGGTTAAGCGTTTGCGCGCAAGACCCAAGGTTCTGGGTTCGAATCCCGCGAGTGGCAGGAGTTGTGGATGTGCACTGCTGTCTTTTAGCGCTTCCAGGCTTCTAATGGTGGTCTTGTAGTGAAGGAGAACACACGTGGGGCAACCCGATTGTATTTAACGAAAATTACAGAGTTACTCAGTAAAATAGGAAAACCATATCGTAAATCGTTAATTTGCAAAATATCAGTCCATCATATCGAACTGGACTGTTCCTGTTGCAAAACATCAATCCATTGTCACTATTCATGCGTTTCATACAAATTCCATTGTTTTCTAACTCTTCCTTTCTTGATCTTCCCCCTTCTTCGGCTGCCAGACATTACGTTGTCACACGTCATATACTACTTATAAGTAGCTCGCACCACAGTCTAACAATGATTTATATATGAATCCGATGTAAAACAATCTAATAGTTGATGCCACTTTACGATAAACAAAATAAGAACGAATGAGGAATGCTTGCAAAAACTCGTTATAGTCAATAGATTATGCAACAATAGGTAGTATTTCCGTGTTATAAGTTGGCTTGGTTGTTAAACACAGGGAAAACGTTCCAGTGTATATGCTCTGATACCTCCAAAGGTGAATAGAACTCGTCCTCTTTCCAAATATTCACATATAAACACACATGTATAATCACTGCTAAAGAAGTTCAACTCACTTCATTCTAGCAATGGGGCCAAAATGGCCCCAGAATAGCCTACAGAAATAAGCGTCTGAATAGCAGATGTCTGGCAGAGGCCTAAGCTAGCTTAGTGGATACGGAAGGTTAGTTCACTTAAGTGTTATAAATCTCCCTTAATAAAACCCAGGCTATTCCTATTGCTTAGTATTCTCTGACAACAATACACTCGACAAGTCCCCACATCAGAACACAGTGGAACAGGAAACAAATTATATTCCAAATAGCAAGGTTAAGTGGAAGTAAGAAGCCGAAATAGAAAGAACGTTTTTTCTTTACATGAGAAGCATCTGGAATCTAATCCACGTGGTTGACTAGCGCTGACCGGATTAGATCTAGCCAATCAGCGAGCAGCTACGCAGTCATGCTTTATTCCATTTATGTTCCACTAGCATTAAGGAAGTTGGAAGTAGTAACTGCAATCTTAAAAGAAGTGATGTCCTGTAAGGATTCAGACCAACCAACGCCAACCAGCATTTTACATTAAATACCTACAACCACCTACATATTAAAAACATAGAGAATTCAATGTCGAATCACTGAAACTAATAGCGTTACTGCCACATGATCGATCGAATTCGATGAGCATTAAAACAAAAAAAACCAGACAAATACGAAATTGGTCATTATTCAACGGTAAACCAAATGTCATCATCTACTCATCAACAATGATATCATATTTATAAACAATAGTTTGAGATTTGTAACAACAGTGTTGTGTATTCTCATCTCAAAAGGGAAACTTTAACGTCAAGAAAAATACACTGAATATGACAAGCAGGAAGGATTGATTAAGGTTATTTAAACAAGACGCAATAAATAAAATGAACAAAAACATTTAATTTTAAAAATCACGTTTACTACATATAATGAGAGAAGTTAGAGAATCATTGAAAGTCAGATGCAACGTAGAACTTCGTACATCAGTTCATGTTGCCATACCTTATCAGCACAGAGATACAATTGTCAATTCAAATCCAATAGTAGAAGAGGTAGTAAAGGTATGAGAAGTAATCGGAGAGGTTAGGATGAGAAGATATTCAAGAAATATGATTCAATGAGAAAATTTTAGAAAGTCAAAACTAGGGGGGTTGAAGAATCCAGAAGATTAGGATTTGAGGGAACACAAAGAATAAATGCACCGGCGCCATTGCAAACGATTTTGATCAATGTCATTCAAGGTCTCTAACCATCGATTATTATCATCTCGCGGACACCAACCAGGTAGTCGACAATTACCGACTCGTCGACTCGTCAATGACTTCATGGATTTCTGCCATGTTTTGGTCTGGCCGCCCCTAGCTTTCTTCCAACCTATTCCTACACTACTAATTAAAGCTCGTCGAAGCAGTCGGTGGTTAGGCATACGCAGCACATGTCCCAACCACCTCAACTGATGAAGTTTCAATGCTTCATCTATTGATTTGCCATTCTTACCTAGCACCCGATTCCTAATAACAGCGTTACTCACTCGGGTGAATCATTGAAAACTATTGTACATTGTACACTAACTTGGTTTTCATTTAGAGCGCTCTATGAAGATGTGTAGCATTGATTGTAGTTATTGTGTAAACCACAAACAATTAGTCTGAATGCAATAGAATGGTTCATAGTTCAACAATCAATAGTTTGATGAAATGATATGCTTAATCTTAGTGTTTGGTCATCCGATAGTTAGAGGCCTTGAATGACATGGCTCAAAATCGTTTGCCATGGCGCAGGTGCATCTATTCTTTGTGATCTCTAGAATTCTAATCTTCTGGATTCGTCAACACCTATACTTTTGTCTTTCTAAAGTTATCTAACTGAATTATACTTCTTGAATAATATCTTCAAATCTTAATCTTCTCCATTACTGCTAATACTTCTACTATCTCTACTACTATGGGATTTGAATTGACAATTGCGTCTCTGTGCTAATGTGGTATGGCAACCTGAACTGATGTACTTACGTACGAAGTTCTACGTTGTAACTGACTGACTGACTGACTTGGTCATCCTTAGTTTTATTTCAACAAATATCTACTTCAACTAATATTTTACGTAAAAGGTGATGGACAGAGCGTAGATGACAAAAGTCTCAGACACTTTCATTGATTCACAGCTTCATTAATCCCCAATTTGTTAGCTTTGTCAAGCATTCTTTATCTCTATTCGCTAAGTCAATTATTATTTATTTCACTATTCTACGATAGGCAAATAATGCTTTGAAGACAATTATCATTGAACTAGTAAACTAAATATGAAACTGTTACGATTGCACGTGAACACGTCAATTGATATGCTTAAACTAGTACAAGTTCACCTTAGTTAGTAAACGAGAGCGAGACAATGACACGATAGGCTACTCTAATCCGAGTGTTCCATACCCCCATTGAGTAGAAGAAGAAGAAGACTTGTTATGAAGTAGAACGTGTATCCTACAAGCATACAGAAAGTACGAGGTCTGAGTTCAGACGAGGCTAAGGATCCGGGTCATAAAACGTTACAGATCATGCATATTTATACAGTTAAGTCGAATAGGAAACAATATTTGAAGTATGTGACATTGATAGTTAGGACGACCATAATATTGACCAATATGAATCGGCCAGTAGAATTAGACTTACATAAATAATTTTCCTAGGATATTGAATGAATATCCTAACAGAAACAAATATACAATATTAGATCACCTTCAGAAACCTGGAAGCACTCAACAGCTGTTTCGTCCTATAGTATGCAACTCATCAGCAGTGAACATCCACGACTCCTGTAACTCGACGGATTCGAACCGAGGAGCTTCAGTCTTGTGCGCGGATAATTAACCTCCGTACCAATGAGCCGGCATCTAACAGTGTTAATCTCTACTTTCGCTCAATCCACAGATACACACTGCTGATGAGTCTCAGATCAAGACGAAACAGCCGCCCAGAGCATCCAGATTTCTAATCATGATCTAACATTATTGATACATTTAAAACATGAAAATAAATAAGAACACTTACTAAGCTAAAATTTGTGATAATTCTATAAAATCTATATTGGTTTTATGTTGACGAACTAAGATACATTCAGAGAATTTATGTAAATATTCTAAATAAGCTGAAGTGAATTGAGCCAATGAAGAAATTGATTGAAAGTAAATTTCCTATCAGTCAGAAAAAACAGAATAAACAAAAAAAGGGCGAATTCAATTTTAGCATTAAAAATTATTTTTCAATGGAAACATTTCAATAGTAGAATTTATCAGGCATAAAATGTTTTCTATTGAAATAAGGTTTTTCTGGTTAGCGTCTTTTACAGGAAGGAAGCATAGAATATACACTGGGTAGATTGGATAACCTAGCTATTCTATCCCACCCCCCCACACACAGCAACAAATCCAGGTGTCAATCGCCAGTTTAACAGCGAATGCTTTATCAGAAGGACTCAACATACACAACAGAAAAGGTAATGGGACCTTGGATACAACACAATAGGCGCAAACCAAGTTACATTTGATGGAGATGGAAACTTTTACCTACAAGCAGGCTCTGATGTATATATATCAAGGCACAAAGAAGGAGCAGCATTTCTACAACTGAAGGATAACCGGAACTAACAGCAACCGTCAACCAACAAACATTAAAATCAGAATTTGCTATCCAAATATCAGTACATTCTCATTGTATGGAGCCGACACTTGTAGAACTATGAAAACCACTATGTTATGCTCGTCACCTGATATGCTTGAAACTATTACGAGTTCACCGTAGTCGATAAACGAGAACCAGACAATCAACCAGTGTCCAGGTAGGCTACTCTGATTTGTTGAACCAAAAGACCTAAAGAAAAGTCTTGTTATAGCGTAGAAAGTGTATTCTACAAACACCCAGCAAGCACAATGAATTCAAGCACACAAATCGTGTTTATTTATACATCGTAGTAACGCCCTTGGGACAGTCACAAAAATGGCGCACTAAAATAACACAGCAACCAATCACAGCCAAGGATATTCCTGGTGGGAAATGCGATCTCAAGGTTAACTGATCTGCCCATGCTCAGAAACATAAAATCTAAAATAAGGGATGTATCAAGTGAGTTCTGTAGATCTAACGTCTCTAACACGTCATTCCAAAGATAGACAGTATTCTACCCAAGATACTCCAGATCCGTCGGCCACACGCCATCAGTGATAATTTATTAAGGCAGAGAACAAACCAACTTCCATCTGAGGGATAAATTTAAGAGCGACGTTATAGGTGGATAAGTCACACCACAGAAATCGTCAGACTGCATTACAAGACAGGCTCTAACTTGGAATCCTCAAGGCAAAAGGAATCGGAGTCAGACACTGAAAGAATGAATGGCACTTAGTAACAACTAGGAAGGAGAGTCTCAGGAACACTTGGTTGGAGATTATTGCTGGTAGTCTATACTGCACGAGAGGTAACGGGTTTACATATACATTTATTCCTAATTGGTAGAAATCCTACCGATAGTATGACATTTTCGGTTATAAAACTTCACATTCATTGCAGAAATGCGAGTACACATATAATTAAAATTCTTTTTCTTATGGAGATTTTATGTAGAGGGAAAGTTCACCAATCCTTTTCATTTCCTATGGTCATGTTCTCAGAAATGTTTAAGTACCATATTCAAAGCCGATGGTTTCGCGACTGACGAGATTTCAGAACGGATACAGAAGGCTCGACTGGCGTTTGCCAAGTTACGTCACCTATGGCGTAGGCGAGATATCCGTTTTCTAACTAAAGGACGAGTGTAATGTGCAGCTGTTTGTTCGGTTCTACTATATGGATGCAAAACACGGCCGGCAAGAGTAGAGGACATTCGTACGTTATTAGTATTTGATCACAGTTATCTTCGAAGCATTGCTCGTATATCATGGGACAACCGAGTGAGCAATGCTGTTGTTAGGGAACGAGTACTAAGTAGGGATGACAGATCGATAGATGAAGTATTGAAACTTCATCATTTGAGATGGTCGGGGTATGTGTCACGTATGCTTAACCACCGACTGCCTCGACGGTCGATGTTTTCTGGTATAGGAGTAGGTTGGAAGAAAGTTAGAGGCGGCCAGACCAAAACTTGGCACAAATGCATGAAATCACTGACAAGTGGACTGAGTCATGTTGGTAGATGTAGGCTATCTGGTTGGGGTCCGCGAGACGTATGTTACCAATGGTTAGAGACCATGAACGACATAACTCAAAATTGTTTGCAGTGGTGCAAGTGCATCCACTCTCTGTGTTCTCTCAAATTCCAACCTTCTGAATTCTTCATCATCTCTATCTTTCTCTTTCTAAATTTATCTTACTGAATTGTACTTGTTAAATAATTTTTTCGAACCCTAATCTTTTCCATTACTGCTAATACTTCTACCATTGCAACCACTATGTGATTTGAACTGACAGTTGCGTCTTTGTGCTAATGCGGTATGGTAACCTGAACTGACGTACTTGCATACGAAGTTCTACATTGCATCTGTCTATCTGTCTATCAAAGCCAACTAACTGAATCCAAAGACTCAAATAATGAAAAGTTCGTCAAGCCTTTTAATTTGTCATGTGCATGTTTTGAGAAGTTTTCTAAATTCTAATCAATTTTTATTACGTAAATTCAAATCACGTGATCTATCTACTTGAATATGACCCGTTTTATTAATTCGATATTATTAATGTTAAGTCTGTTTGAAAGTTATATCAGAAGAATGTTTAAGTAACTCGTTTTCGATATTGAAAGCTGACTGAATCCGATGGTTCCTATTGAGAAGACTAAAACTTGTAACATGGATTTATCCGATATCTGAATACACTACATTTCAAACAATTTATTCAAAGAGTAGCTTTTTACAGCAACTAAGTCATGTGAGATGGTGGTTGGAGGAGGTAACTGACAAGAAATCTCGGATGTAGGTTTCGTACAAATTGGGACTCATTAGCAAGGTATACTTAACAACCTTGGAGAAACTGAAACTCCCCACAGGATTCGATCCTGCGTCATCCAATAACACAGTGAGAGATGTCTCCATTGGTAGTTCAGTGGAAATCACGATAGTGTTTCAAGTGAACGGTATTGGATTTGAGTGTTGGCAGTGAACATCAACCTCTGAGATACAGGTACAGTCAGCTAAATAAATAGAACAAAACGTACTGCTTGAATTCTAGTGTTAGCCACATTCTATCTCTTCTATGCGTGAAGGTGCAGATTGGCAAAGCAATGACAGTATTTCTACAATTGGACAATATCTGCAACTCAATACAAGTGTCAACCAACACCAGAGTCATAATTTTCAATAAAAATGTCAAGACAGTTAGTTCTACTGTATAAGGCAGAAACTCGGAGAACCATGAAATCCATCATCCACAAACTACAAATGTTTATCAACAGTTGTCCACACAAGTTACTGAGGATCCGTTGGCCAGACACTATCAGTAACAATCTACTGTAGGAGAGAACAAACCATATTCCACTGGAGGAAGGAGTTAGGTAGAAACGCTTGAGATGAATAGGACATACATTGAGGAGATAACCAAACTGCGTCACACAACAAGCCCTCACTTGGAATCCTCAAAACCAAAGGAAGAACGGGAGACCAAGGAACACATTACGCCAAGAATTCGAGGCGGACATGAAAAGAATAGAACTAGGAAGGAAGGCCCAAGACAGAGTAGGTTGGAGAATGCTTGTTGGAGGCCTATGATCCACTGGGGGGGGGGGCAAATAAGCGTAAGTAGTAAGTAGTACTGGTAATATACTCTTACCTCAATCGATAATGGTTCTGATTGATCAAAGTCACATGTTTTCCAGACATCAGTTGTAGCCTGAGAAAAATATTAAAAAAATATATGTATGATAATTATTTAAACTAGGATAATAAAAAAGCTTGAGTTTCAAATCAGCGTAATAAATACATAGCAGAACGCATCATATTTACGCCATGTAACTTAATTTAGCGTAACTTATTAGAGAAATATGACTTTGTATATAAGGTTGTGGAGTAACAACAATACCTATAAGATATGAGTGTATTGTTTGAAGTGCGACTATGTTAATTAAGTGCACTGACAAAATTTTCTGGTTACAGCAGAAGGTGAAGAGAGTTCGCTGTCAATCAGTCTCATCTGATTTCAGTTTATAAATGTTCCTTGATTAACTTTGTATGTTTTCTGATATCTAAAAATCTCAGGGGATAATTCTTTATTTTACTGCCTGCCTCAAGTGATTTTGAAAAGCGAAATGTGAAGTAAGACTGAAGTTACTTCATTACAAGCGTAACGATTCAACAGATCAAGCGTAAATCAATTAGATTAGGGACGAGGAGAAAATCCAATTAAAAAATGGAATGTGCGTGCAAGTATGAATTATGAAATACTGACTAAGATTATTTACACAACCAATAAGAGAGTAGACAATATTAAGTAATAGACGTCTGTCTACACATCGGAAATTAAAGGACACTCATAGGTTACTAGTATTCAAGCATTGCTCGTATATCGTGGGACAACCGAGTAAACAATGCTGTAGTTAGGAAACGAGTACTTGGTAAGAGATGGCAAGTCAATCGACGAAGAGGTGAATATTCATCCGGTGAGGTGGTTGGAAAACGTGTTACGTATCCTAACCACCGACGACCTCGACGAGCTATATTTTGTGGTGTAGGAGTAGGTTGGAAGAAAGCTAGGGGCGGCCAGACCAAAACATGGGACAAATCCATGAAGTCACTGACAAGTGGACTGAAATATGTTAGTGGGTGCAGACTACCTGGTTGGGGTTCGCGAGACGGTAGTAACCGATGCTCAGAGACCTTGAACAACATGGCTCAAAATCGTGTGCAATGACGCAGATGCATCCAATCTTTGTGTTCTCTCGAATTCTAATCTTCTGAATTCCTCATGGCCGTTATTTTTTTCTCTTTTTTGGTCGATTCCCCTGAGGTATCCATCTTGAATGATATATTCGATCATTAAGCTTTTTGATTACTACTAGTGTGGTGCGCGCTACTTATAAGTAGTATATAACGTGAGTGTCAACCTAATGTCTGGCAGCAGAAGATGGGGGAAGATCAAGAAAGAAAGAGTTAGAACACAATGGAATTTGTATGAAACGCATGAATAGTGACAATGGATTGATGTTTTGCAACAGGAACAGTCCAGTTCGATATGATGTACTGATATTTTACAAATTAACGATTTACGATATGGTGTTCCGATTTTACTGAGTAACTCTGTAATTTTCGTTAAATACAATTCGGTTGCCCTCACCTGTGTTCTCGTTCACTACACTAGTACTCCTACTACCTCTGCTACCATAGGATTTAAATTGACAATTGTGTCTTTGTGCTAATGTGGTATGGCAACATGAACTGATGTACATACATGCGAAGTTGTACGTTGTAACTGACTGACACTAACTAACTATAAGTTAACTGGCACATAACTGATCGAATTTCACGTTACATTATTCTGATTCCTATGGTGCTAGCATAATAGAAAAGATTAATCTGCTTGTTTAGAGAAAGAAAAACACACACACATACACACCCATTGAACATTGATTGATTGAACTTACTTTTAAAAAGCGTTCATTTGAATAAATTACATTCAAACAATCGAATATTTCAATGATTTTGTACCATAATTGAACAGTTTCAGGTTTTAAATTCTCCGGTAATTGTTGATTAGACTGATCATTATGTTTCACAAGATTATTATCATTCAGGTGTTGAGTTTTGAATTTGTTCATGATTGAATTGTACATTGAACAAGTGGTAGTAGGAGTATCACCAACATTGTTATTATTATTACTATTATCATTGTCATAATTTTCAATTTCATCCAAATTTAAATTATTCCATATTGTTTCAAGTAGTTTATCATTATTATCAGTAGTAGTAGTAGTATCGATCGGTAAAGAGTTTAAACGAGCATGTAATTGATTACTAGCTTGTTCACTAACTAATTCCAATGATTCTAAGTGAAGCAATGCACGAGAACATTCCAATTGGTAAGTGAAATCACCACGTTTTTGTTTCATCGACTGATGATTATTGGATTCAACTGATGTATGCAATTCATATGCTTCACGTAATACCTTAGATATTTTGAAAAAAACAAGAAAAATATGTTAAAACATTTATTATTGTTATTATTATGGGCAGAGAGATAAGTGATGATTAGTTAGTAAAGGACTATAGGATGTGCGTTTCGTCCTATTTGGCAATCCTCCTCAACTGCATGTACACGCAACTCAATGTTGATGTCCATATCGGGACTCGAACTCGGCTGGCGTGCTTCGAATCGAACGAAATGCACGTCCTGGACCATACTACTAGCCACTATTCATCTTTCCGTATCATGTTTACGACTTAATGGCAATACCTACAGGAGATACGTACATCATGAACATATGCCAAAAGAGATTGATCAATGGGTGAGTGTTACGCTCGTCTGTAGGTATGCTTAAACTATTACGTGTTCACCTTAGTCGAATAACGAACGAGAACAAAACAATGAACCAGAGTCCAGTTAGGCTACTGTGATCCCTTGACCAAATTGTATCAGCGAAAAGTCTTGATATAGTGTAGAAATTGTATTCTACAAACACCCAGCCAGCACACAATGAATCCAAGCACTCAAATTGCGTTTATTTATTTATACTCTATAGAGACGTCCTTGGGACAGTCACAAAAATAGCACACTAAAATGACACAGTAACCAATCACAACCAAGGATTTTCCTGGTGGGAAATGTGATCTCAAGGTCAACTGATCGGCCCATGAAATCAATCAAAAATGAAGATATTTATCAAGTGAGTTCTGGGGATCTAACATCCCCAACAGTGAGGTTGCACAAAATCTGTAGATGGATCAGAGTTAGGCATTAACACCATTGGATGCCGGGCCCAGTGGTCCAGAGGTTAGGCGTTCGCGCGTAAGACCGAAGGTCCTGGGGTGCAGGAGTCGTAGATGCGCGTTGCTGATGAGTTCCATACCAGGACGAAACGGCTGTCCAGTGCTTCCACGTTTCTAACTGGACTACTGTATCCTCTTTCACTTGCGGAGTAGTTATGTCGATAATGTAATTTCTAAATTCTGTTGATATGTCGTCAGGATGTGGCTTTATATTACTATATGAGTGATTCCTAAGTTTTAACTGTATCTAATTGAAAGTTATCTGATTCTTAAGTTTTTTTTCCAACTCTATCTATCCAGAAATCAAGCTTGGCAGATCACATTCTAGACAAATGGTCATTTGGTGTAACTCTCAGTTGTTATCTCACATCTAGCGTGTGATTCATTGGCTGAAGGTCATTGGTACTAGAGAGACACAGCCTAAGTGAGCTAATCAATACAACTACTTTCTTGTCTTACGGTTCGATTTCACGGGCCCCCAAATAAACTCAACAAAAGAATGTGCTTATATTCACTGACAGATCTCTTTAATTAATTACTGTTATTGGTAATCGTTTGATCATATTGAACTGATTGCCTTTATTTCTGACGATCGGTACATAATATTGATTTAAACTTAAAATGTAGCCTGTAACTTGTTGACCTGTAATTTGAGAATCGAATTAGTACGGATTGCATTCAAAACTACAACTATAACTACCAAACGAACACTTCACTTAACCATAGAATAAACGCTACCACCGAATATTGATCTGTTTTATTCAATACAATGAATAATTCGTTCGAGTTAAGTTCAAGTTTATGAGATTTGTAAACGATTTGAAACAATTAAGTAACTATAGAAGAATGTAGATCAGTGTGCTGTTAGTGTCAAAGACAACGGCTCTCAATTCACCTCTTCCCAATTCCAGACTTTCTGTCAACGGCAAGCCATTAAACAGTTACGCTCGCCACCATACCACCCACAATCGAATGGGCAGGCGGAAAGGTTTGTGAATACGTTCAAAAGAGCATTGCTTAAGTCAAAAGGGGAGGGGACACCAGCCGACACGTTAGAAAATTTATTGTACGTCTATCGGACAACACCAAATCAATTGTTACCGGAGCAAAAGTCCCCAGCAGAAATCCTGATGGGAAGAAGATTGAAAACGATCCACAGCCTGATGCTTCCGACTAATGCACCCACATCAGTAGAGACAAAGCCGCAAAGACATTCCGCTTACGAAGTGGGATGCCCTGTGTTTGCCCGCGACTACAGAACGAACCATGGTCCTTGGGCAGAAGCGAGATTGGTCAGAAGAGTTGGTCGAGTTATGTACGAAGTAGAGATAGGAGGTGATAAATGGCCACGTTATCGAAAACAGATACGCAGACGGCTAGCCCCAGATCGCCCATCAAGAGCAGAAAGCCTTCCCCTTGACATCTTGCTTGATACCTTCAACCTACTGGCAGCCCAGCCACGAGAAGAAACTCAGCAGCGATCTGTTCTTCGTTCCCGAAGGTATCCTCTCAGACAGCGGCGAACAATAGTCAAGATGCAAGTCGACCCCAGGAGCACACGCTATTAAAAAGGGGAGGAGTGTTGGGGATGTTAGATCCCCGGATTTCGCTTGATAAATGCCTTATTTTGTAATTCACGTTTGCCAGCATGGGCTGATCAGTTGACCTTGAGATTTCAATTCCCACCAGGAAAATTCATAGCTGTGATTGGTTGCTGGGTATTTTAGTGTGCTATTTTCTTAACTGTTCCAAGGACGTTTCTATGATGTATAAATAAACGAGAGTTGTATGCTTGATTGTACTGTGATTGCTGGGTGTTTGTAGAATTTACTTTCTACGCTTACAAAGCCTTCTTACTCTATTTTGGGGATTCAAGGTAGCCTGGACGCTGGTAAAAGTCTCGTTCGCGTTTATCGACTAAGTGACGAACCCAATATTTGGCCGGTAACTTATTTCGCGCTCACTTTAATAACTACTATTATACCAAAAACAATTTTCGCAAGTCAATTGTACGACAATCGAACTATAGACACATTCAATGTTTTTGAACGGAATCGCCGCTGAATCTAAAAAATTAGTCTAATTTGAATAGATGATTTTATTTCTCTCCAGTAGAATTACTCTTTTGACATTACTGTCATGAATAATGGAACTGAATCTTCACTGACCAGCAGAAGAGCAGAAGACAATACTTGACCTGAGCGTGTTTCGTATGTCAAAACATCGACTATCTAGACGAGCGATCTTATATGCTATAAGAGTAAACTGGAATGGTCATATCAAAATGTGACACCATTCCATGAAGCTGTTAATAAGTACAGACTACATGGTTGAGGTCCCAGTGATCATCGTAATTAATAGTTAGAGAATCGTTCACAATAGCGCAGGTACATTCACTGTTTATGTCAAAAACTTCTGACATTATTTTGGTTTATATCAAGTCTACTCTGCAAAAAACTGATACTGTAACTACTTTTACTACTCTGAGATTTGTTTTGAAATAATCTTATTTCTTTGTGCTAATGTGGTAGTGGCATCTTAAACCGATGCACAAATGTATCAGGTTTTACATTGGTATATGGCTGGATTTTTTAAATTTAAACACATAAACATTGGTACAAAGGATCCCCTAAATATTTATGCACCACATAAATTATTGGATTTGTTAGTACACTAGGATAGCAGACGGTCTACGTAGAGAGCCAGCCATTTTCAGAACCTTTGATCCGAAAGTTCAATCTAAGAAGGCAGTACTATGGTTGCCGGTAACCAGCCATTTAATTCCTTCAGCATCCTAGAGCCAATGTGTACGATCCGTTTATATTCAGGGTTTCACAATTCCTCCAGGTGGGTCCTCCATACTTACAAACCCGGTTAAAGCCCTCGCCAGACACTCGTAATTTTTTAAACCACACCCCGTTACGAAAAAGCAGTGAGTAGGACTTCCCCGACATTGGCTATATACGCATAGTCATATGAGAGTATCTTAAAGTAGAGTGGACTTTCTCTGTTCTCTACCATACACCATGAATGAACCATTGTTAGACTACCATTAGTATGGGACTCATCAGCAGTAGTGTGCATCCAAGACTCTCACCACTCACAGGATTCGAGCACATGACCTTCGGTCTTGCGCTCAAACGCTTAACCTCTGGACCACTGAGTTGATGGCATCCACGATTGTTCATATCTAAATCTGATCAATCTAAGGATTTTGCGTAACCTCACCCATTGTATTCAATAGTTACTGCCTACACCCGACAAGGTTGAACTCCACTGGTCACGTCTTTAGTTTAATTTATTAGCCACATCCCACAGTATTCTTCACTTCATAGAAGAGATTTAACCCATGAATTTCATCTAGTGTCAGACAAACAAAGTGTGAGAGACAACAAAAACAACACAAAGTTCATATTCACAAAAAAAAATCAAAAAACAAACCTTAGAAAGATTTGGTCGATTATTGATAGTGTTTGGTGGACGTAGAAATTTTTTTGTATAATTGAAACCAGGATCATTTTCAGCTAATACAGACATTGTTTTACGTCCAATCAATTCTAGTACATCAACACCGCCTTGTACTAAATTTAAACTCTATATCAAAATAACAACAAATGAGTAATAAAATATGAATGTCAAAACAGTGTGTATTTGTCATATATCAATCAGGAATGAAAGATTGGAGAGAAATGGTAACGCCCAGGACTAAGATTATAGATTATTCTCATTGTATAGTTAGTAAATAACTAGATTATTACATATTCATATCCCTCCAGTCATAAGCTGCTGATTAACTAATCGGTTTTCCCCCTGGAAATGCAAAATGTTGCTTCAAGATTGGGTTGCATCGGCACCTGAACTAGTGATAGGGAGTGAAGTAGTCGAGCATGTTGACCGCTTCACTTATCTGGGGAGTCTCATCAGTGCTGATGGCCTGGTGACTGACGAAATCTCAGCTCGGATACAGAAGGCTTGATTGGCTTTTGCCAACCTGCGTCACTTATGGCATAGGCGAGATATCCGTTTGCTGACTAAAGGACGAGTGTACTGTGCAGTAGTTCGCTCCGTCTTACTATATGGCTGTGAAACATGGCCAGTTAGAATAGAAGATATTCGTAGGTTACTGGTTTTCGATCATAGGTGTCTTCGAAGCATTGCTCGTATATCGTGGGACACCCGAGTGAGCAACGCTGTTATTAGGAAACGGGTGCTAGGTAAGAATGGCAGATCAATAGATGAAGTGGTAAAACTTCATCAGTTGAGGTGGTTGGGACATGTCTTGCGTATGCCCAACCACCGACTGCCTCAAAGAGCTTTGTTTTGTGGTGTAGTAGTAGGTTGGAAGGAAGCTAGGGACGGACAAACCAAAACATGGCACAAATCCATGAAGTCATTGACGAGTGCACTTAGCCATGTCGGTAGTTGTCGACTACCTGGTTGGGATCCGCGAGATGATAATAATCGATGGTTAGATACCCTGAATGAGATGGCTCAGAATCGTTTGCAGTGGCGCCGGTGCATTTATTCTTTGTGTTCTCTCAAATCCTAATCTTCCGGATTCTTCAACCCCCCTAGTTTTGACTTTCTAAACTTTTCTCACTGAATCATACTTCTTGAATCATAGCTTCTAATCCTAACCTCTCCGATTACTTCCAATACTTTTACTACCTCTTCTACTATTGGATTTGAATTGACAATTACATTTCTGTGCTACTGTGGTATGGCAACATCTGACTGACTCTGAATCGACTAACTTTGCAGGAATCGCTATTACTCATCTTTTGCCAGTTTATCATTGACGGACTCTTTTATTCACAGTCACGCTTGGTTTGCTCACGCATAAATGTAATTTCTGTTTCTATGGTGTGATATATGGTCAGGTACGTTTAGTGAACAAACTATATCTGCTTGAAATATAACGAATTTTGTGACGGCTGGCTGTGGACTTCTGGACTACGAGACAGGTTAGAGATAAAGAAGCCAATGAGTTGTGGACCAATAAGGTTTTAGAGCTGACTCAACATTTCTAATGCTAAACGTAATTCTGATTGGTGTTTTGTATTTGTCGCGTGATGTTGGTCAACGGTTTGTGATACAACAATATTAGCAAAAAATATCAAATTTTGACCATCTAACTATCAAGTATTCCGATTGAGCTCACGTTTCTCCTTTGGCTTAATTCAATATGTTAGTTTTAATATTTTGCACTACCGAAGTTTTACATTACCGAAGTTTACGAGTATTCTGAATGATGAACGATTAGAAAATAACTTCTAACAAGCGCAAGATTTACGTGATATAAAAAAAGTCAAGAACTCAAGAACTCCACAACACTTGAGGAGTAACACGTAATCCACTAGGTGATGATAGACAGAAGTCAGGAATTCAAGAAATGCTTGTTAGTTAAGAAAGTCAAAATTGGAATACAATGACTGTTGTAGCGATAACCATGAACATGATAAAGTAGTGAACTGATGGCGAAAGTGACCAGCCAAATTATAACAAAGGTCAGTTAATGTACTTCTTTGGTATACCTTTCAATGACAAACACTTCCACAGAACCTCATGATCGACAGAGTCAAATGCCGCCTTCCGGTTCAGGAAGATAACTATTGTCGGATGCCTAAATGTATGTCTGTGTTCCAAGATCTGTCGTAGAGTGAAAATATGGTCTATACAGCCACGTCCGGGTCTGAAACCAGCCTGGTTTTCTCTAGTATGCTCTTCACGAGCTCTAGTTAGGCGTCTAAGTATAATCGAGGCTAACAATTTTTAGAGATTAGATGAAATCGTATGCAATACTTATCATAGATTGACTTTAATTTGAGGGGTTCCTTTGAAAATGTAGCGTCGGATAGGTAGTTTGTTTTAGATGCGAACTATTAAGTGCCAAATTATTGGGATTGTGGTCCCTAACAGGGTTATGCATTAATAACGTGTCCGAAAACAGGAGAAATAGATTTTTATTCATTAACTGATTGAGACCAATCTGTAACAAATATCATCTACAAAATAATATTTATCAAGTTCATCCCATCCAGTGATTTGTACTAGTTTCTACTATATTTAGTAGCAAACCGATAAGAAAAATGTTTCAGATCGTACCATAACTTCATCCAGAAATTTAAAATCATAACCATCAGAAATTCCTTGTTAGATCACTTTCACACAAGATTCATATTAATAACCAGTCAAACTACTTTAACCAACTATATACACTAATTTAATGAGGCATTCAGAAGATGAGAATTCGAGAGAACACAAAGAATGGATACACCTGGGCCAGTGCAAACGATTTTGAGCCATGTCATCCAAGGTCTCTAACCATCGGTGACTTTCGCCTCGCGGACCCCGACCAGGTAGTCTACAACATGGCTCAGTCCAGTTGTCAGTAACTTGATGGTTTTGTACCATGTTTCGCTCTGGTGGGCCCTAGCTTTCCTCCCATCTAACCCTACACCACGAAACATATCTTGTCGAGACAGTCAGTCGCTAGACATATGTAACATATGTCCCAACCATCTCAATTGATGAAGTTTCACTACTTCATCTATTAATCTGCAATCCTTACCTAGTACTCATTTCCTAACAACAGCATTGCTTACTCGGTGGTTTCGGGATATACTGGCAATGCTTCGAAGACATCCGCGATCGAATACTAGTAACCCACAAATATCCTCTAGTTTAAACTGGCCATGTTTCGCACCGGTAGAGTAGGACAGAACGAAATAATGCGCAGTAGACTCGTCCTTTAGTTAGCAAACGGATATCTCGCCTACGCCATACACTAATAATAGCCGTTATTATTAGTTTAGGATAGTTAAATATAAGAACTAACTTATTCCTACTGTGAATTTTTAAACAATAAGATAGTATAGTTCAAAAAAAAATTCAACCACCACCAACACCACCACTTACGGTTGCCTGTAATGATGAAGTCAATTTTTGACTAATTGAAGATAAACTATTCCAATCCCATGAAAAATTATTACTACTTGTCTTTGATTCTACATCACAGTTTTCTGTGCTTGACGAAATCTTTTCACCACATGAATTGTAAGTTGATTTAAGATTGTTAGGATTTGTCAGCATCGGCGAAGAATTCATGTTGTTTGACTGTAGTTTGTCTGGTATAGCTGTTGATTCCTCTATAAAGTCCACTTCCCAACCACCATTCTGATCATTCTGATCGTCATCATCATCATCATCATCATCATCATTAGTCCACGATGTATTCCATACACTGTTCCATGCATCGGATATTAGTTTCCTTTCTTTTTCCTCTTCAGATTGTCGTTCAACTCGTTGTTGTAGTAGTTTATCATCTAAGGGATTTGTTTGTATCACATCACCAAGTACACTGACAAGTGAACTTATTCCACTACTTAGGCCACGTGTAATAATATTGGAAGCAGCTGAAGCAATCGAGTTTAAATCGGTTGAGGAGTCAATATTCGGAAGTGTATCTGTTTCAGAGCGAAGTTGACATGATGATGCATCGGAATTTATATCATCTGATTTATCTATCATTACTGGAAGTTGATCAGTCATGGAATCACTCACTTTTGAATGTTTATCAGAGTCATATATATGATCCTGAGTAGATTTATCATTAATGTGTTCTTCTTTATTAGTGATCGTAGAATCATTTTGATTTGTTGTTGAATTCTCTCTCTCAGTTGACTCGACGATTTCTACGTTGGGTTCGGAACTTTTTAATGATACGTCAACCTCTTTGGAGGGTTGGACAACAGATGGAAGCTGTTGATCATGTTTTTCATTTTGATTAACGTTAAACTCAGTGACAGATGTGATATTTTCCTCAAGATTTGTCTCTGAATTAGTATTCAATGATGTTTCTTTAACCTTGAATCCCATAAGAGAAGAACAAAAAAAAATTATCTTTCAAAGCTTGTGATCAACCCTGGAACTAATGATTTGAATAAAAATCTTAACCAATAACGTTACAAGTTTGTAAACTACGCCTGTAGACCCTCCGGGGATACTACCGGTCTCAAGCTCGGATAAAGAAAGAGGGTTGGGCATGAGGTTAGCGACCCCTAACAAGAAAAAATAATTCAAACCATTTAAACTCTGCTCTGGGAGTTAGAAGGTCTTCTTTCAGAAGAGTTATAACGTCTCATGATGAAAGCCGAGTTCTTTCGGAAGTTACGAGGCCGATCCTCCTTCTGACAACCAGAACCCTTCCATGGTGTGGGTAGCCGGAAAGTAACATCCACCCTCATACCCATAAAAGCACAGGAGACCAAATCGGTCAGAATCAAATCCTTTCCATACCTTGTATAATATCTTCGAACCCTAATCTCTTCGATTACTGCTAATACTTCTACTACCTCTACAACCACGTGATTCGAATTAACAGTTGCGTCTATGTGCTAATGTGGTATGACACAACTTGAACTGATGTACGTACATACGAAGTTCTGTGTTGTTTCTGACTGACAAATTTGTAAATCAAGGTAATAATAATCTACATTGACAAACCTGAAGCACGTGAACTAGCACAAATAATCGATACTTTAATGGATGGATAATAGATTAGATAAACTTTGAGAGGATTTTGGATGCTTTTATATTTAAAAACAAAGCCAAAGTATTTTCTTGTTGTACACATACAACTGGATTCTACGTTCGTAATTCACAGTGTGCACAGTCTAGAGTGTCTTAACTTATACAGATATTTCTTCATTTAGGGTTGGGGAGATCAGTGTTTTTACACATTGAAATTATCAATAAATCATTGTAAGACCACCACCATTAGAAACCTGGAAGCACTGGACGGCTGTTGCGTCTTAGCATGAGACTCATCAGTAGTGTGCATCCACGACTCCTGCAACTTTGCTTTGTACTTCTCTAAAGGTTTTGAAGTGACATTGACAAACGAAAATCATTTTTAAAATACCTCAATTTTCCGAAACACTATCTTAACAAACTAGGATAAATGAATCGCACCAGAAAACCCTTCCAGTATTCAAAACAGTGAAAACAAGAACACATATTACATTGAGGAAATCCCCCAAACTGGGTTGTGAAACAAAAAACCCGAACTTGGAATTCTCAAGGCGAAGAGGAAGACCAAAAAATACAATGTATTGAGAATCAGAGGAAGACATAGACAGACAGACAGACAGATACAACGCAGAACTTCGTACATAAGTACATCAGTTCAGGTTGCCATACCACGTCAGAGAAGACATAGAATGAATAACATTTAGTAAGAACTGAAAAGAGTCCAAGACAGAGTCGGTTCAATCAACCAATTAGTCAACAGCAGCGTAGAACTTCGTACGTACGTACGTCAGTTCATGTCGCCATACCACATTAGTACAGAGATGTGATTGTCAATTCAAATCCCATGGTTGTAGAGGTAATAAGGTATTAGCAGTAATCGGGAACATTAGCGTTGGAAGATATTATTTAAGAAGTAGTGAAATGAGCTTAAAAAGAAAAAGTTTAGGATTTTTGGGAACGCAAGGAATGAATGCACCTGCGCCACTACGAACAGCGCAGGTTGGTTGAAGAATCCTAGTCAGTGGCCTATGCTGAACGAGGGATAACAAGCGTAAGTAATATAATGTGAGATAGAAAAGGCCTGTAGTTAGAAAAAAGTGGTATCAAATTATGTAGGACCAATAAACGGAGTAAAAGTTACAACTTCTAGAATGTTACTGTTATACAATACATTATCAAAAACATATGACTATGAATTTACGATACGAACATGTATGAATATGAATCTATGTCTAGAATAAATTTTATCACACTATAAGTAAAATCGCCTTCCATCTAATAGATAATAATGATATCGAACACATATAAACTTTTATTACAGATTCAATTAGCCAGTCAGTTACAACACAGAACTTCGTATCTATGTGTACATCAGTTCAATTTTCTATACCACATTAGCATAGAGACGCAACAGTCAATTCGAATCACATAGTTGTAGAGGTAGTAGAAGTATAAGCTGTGATCGGAAAGACTAGGGTTTGAAGATATTATTCAAGAAGTAGAATCTAGTGAAATAAACTTAAGAAGAAAAAGATAAAGGTAATGTA